GCTGACTGGCATAGAAACTGACCAATTAGAACCAAATTGGCCGGCAGAGGAGGGCAGTTGGGGGCATATCGGGCCTGCAGAGGAGGGCAGTTAGGGGTGATCAGGCAGGCAGGCAGAGGGGTTAGGGGCAATCAGGCAGGCAGGCAGGTGAGTGGTTAGGAGCCAGCGGTCCCAGATTGTGAGGGGGTGTCCGATCCACAGGGATCGGGTCTAAACCGGTGGTCAGACATCCCCCCTGAGGGGTCCCTGATTGGAGTGGGTGCAGGCTGGGCTGAGGGAACCCCCCTCCCCCCGTGCACGAATTTCATGCACCAGGCCTCTAGTTTTTAAATGAAATTCTACTTCACTCAGACATATCAGACATGTCAACCACTGTTTTGAGAAGCATCTATATGCTGGGGCTACAGATCGATATTGTGCTATAGCAGCTATAGTGATGCTACTTACAAACTCTTTCAATTGGTAAACTTGAAAAGGCTAACTTTTTTTTTTGACCCAAGATGCTTGTGGGAAAACATATTCCCTTCAGTAACAATGGCTGTTTTTTCTCAGGACTGGAGTGGGTTGAGGTAGTACTGTGTATACCACCTCAAGACCATGTACTGGAATCTCTGGAGTAAGGGTACATATAGTTTTCAAAATCCCCTAGGTGGTATTTACTTATCTCACCCCCCCCCCCCCCCCCCCCCCCCCCCCGCCCCCGAAATCCTTCATTACTTTTATATTTTTGGCTCCACATTGACATTCTCTGTATTATTCTAATAAGTAACATTTAAGTAATGGGCATTTTACAAAAGTGTTTATTTACTCACATTCCAAATTGAAGAGGGGTTTAATTCTTTTATCCCTCTCTCCTTTGCTAATTTTGTTGGAAGAATGTAAGTTCATAGTATTTTATTTTATAAATGAATAAACATTCTTTTATTTCAAAAAGTGTCATACAGATTAAAAATATGGCAGCAACATATAACAAACCTGCCAGAGTGTGATGTGGCTACAGCTGGACACATTTATACCTTAGTGAGCTCTTAAATTGTGACTTCTGAAGCAACCCAGTGACATTTGCAGAAAACTGAGGTAGTAACTGTGTTCATTGATTGTTTCACAAGCACTTTTGTTTCTTTAGAGAAAACAGGGCTGTTGTACAGAAAGATGAATTATATTAGTCTCTGCTTAGAGGGCTCCCATTCTAAATTAAACCTTATAGTAGGCCTAAGGGGGATTGCATCATTTGGGCAAAGACAAACAAATAAACCCTGACGATTCTCACCCTCTGTGTTTTTGTGGGTTTGTTTTCCTTTGTCAATTTTTTTTCTGGGAATGATGGAACAGTATTTCTCAGAGATTTACTCCTAGCAGGTGCCTCTAAGCTCTGCAGTTCATTCCATTTCTCAGAATTAAGGGTCCCCCATCTCACTTGGGCTGGAAGCTGACTGCTGAGAGTGCCCCCATGAGGGTTGAGCAGCCCAGTCCTGAGGCCTCGGCCAATTCATTTCCCATTTCTGAACTTCAGATGTCATAATTCAATGTCAGGAGAGTGAGATTAAGAGGTAGAGAATTCAATGAAGAAATTGGATTTTTTTAAAAAAATGAAGATCCTTTCTACAGCTCTCAGTCAAGGGCTCTAAGACACAGTTTTGTCTTTTCTGAGGTCTTCAGCCCAAACCTAATTTCTTCATTCCCAGGGAAAATCCAATAGTCTTGTCCCCGACTTCACTCCATGCAAAAACCACTTGGGTGCAAGTGCCACGGCTGGAACACAACAGTGCAAACGGCCCTTCTGTTTCCCAGCAACCCTTTTCAATTCTGCACGGCCTGCACTCTGTGTGCCTCCACGTGTCTGGGGACCAATTTCCAGGTTAAAGAGCCATATGATGATTACAGGTAAAGGAAGCCTTGGATGCCATGTAGCACAGCATCCCCTGTGCAGGTGAGAGGAACGAAGTCCATGGAGGGAAATAACTAGATCTAAAGGCCACACAGATATTGGAGCAGCCTTGGAATTAGCTGCCAAATAGACTGGCCTTTACCCAGCTGAGACTGCCTCCCTCCCTCTTGAGATTCTGCCTTCATTTGGATTATGCAAATTTGGGGGCAAGTTCCCTCCTAGTCCCTAAAGTCTTTAAATTGGGCATCAGGGAGCTGTGGGCTCCTATTGCCTGGCCTCTTGTAGCAGCAGCACAGGCTTCAGGACCCTGCAACACAGAACAAATGTGTTCCTCCAGCAGCTGCCTCAGTGAGGCCTGGGACCAGGAACCAAATATGAGTTTTAACAATTCTATGACTCTATGAATCTAAAATGTTATTGCTGTGCTTTTCACAGCAGGTTCAATTACAGTCCATCTCACTAACTGGTCTGAGATCTCCCCAGGCAAAAGGACCTTGTCACTTCTTTCTCAGCCCCTATGCGTTAGGAGCTCAACAGTACTGTAATGAATGAACAAATGAACTTCATTTTGGAAGGCCTGGCTCTGAGTGTTGGTTGAGCTACCAGAGCTGTGTAAACCTCAATTTCCTGATTTAGATGAAGGGGAACTAATCCCTGCTTTGTCCTGCACACAGGTCAAGCAGTTAATGCCTGGCACATGGCAAATGATGGTCCAAGCACATCTGGGATGTGGGAGCTGCAGGCTCTGCATCTCTCCATCCCTGTTTCTTCTTGGCTCCCTAGGGTGACATAGTTGCCATAGCACATGAAGTGGAGAATGCCTGGAAGGACAATGAAGAAGGGCCACTGAATTGTCTGCCTCCTGGAGGGCCCTGAAGACCAAGGTGAGTTTGGTCTGGACTGAGCCTCTCAACCTGCTTGCTTCAGTTAGTTAGTGTCAACACCCAGTTCTTCCAAAGCTCAGCTCAGGGCCCTGGACCTCTCCCTTGAGACTTCTCTCCTCCCCAGGCCTGGCTTTTGGTGCCCCACCTAGCTGCCATGGCAACAGGCTCCAGGGTGACAAAGGAGGTTGCTGGGTCCTGTTTCCTCCTGGTCCCGGTGATGCAGATTTTCAGACCACAGAGACTGAACTTCTCTGCACCTACCTGGGCTCCTTCTGTGTTCTCACTCAGGTGGAGCTCAAATCCCGACCTGCCCACAGGGTCATGTCTACCAGCCTGACCACTTGTGAGTGGAAGAAAGTCTTCTATGAGAAGATGGAGGTGGCGAAGCCTGCGGACAGCTGGGAGCTCATCATAGACCCCAATCTCAAGCCCAATGAGCTGGCCCCTGGCTGGAAGCAGTACCTGGAGCAGCATGCCTCAGGCAGGTGAGAGGCCAGAAAGCAGGGAAGCATTCCTGGAGCACAGCCCTGGGTACCTTCCAGGCAGAGGCAGAGAGAGATGTGTGGAGCCTCATCCTGGTGTCAGGTCAGGGAAGGGGCAGAGAAGGAATGCTGGGTAGGTGAAAGAGGTCTTGGTTCTAATCCCAGCAGTACCACTGACTTCCAGGTGGCCCTGCAGGTTGTGTTCTGTCTTTGGGTCTCTGTTTTCCATGGTAATTGAAGAGTTGTAATATCTTTAATGCCCCCGCAATCTCTGACATTTTAGTGTTTTCTTATTTTCATAATCTCTTAAAGAGTGGTGGGAACTGAGGGGAGGAGACCATGAGGTCACCAGGGAAAGCCTTAGCTTAGGGACAGGGAGTCTGTGCTCTAGTCCTAGGTATGTCCAATCAGCTCAATCCAATTTGATTTGAATACAAAAACATTCATTGGCCACTTGCTATGTTCTAGAAACTGTACACTTGGGCAGGTCACTTTCCCTATCTGGGTCTCAGTGTTCATATTTGCAAAAGCAGGGGGTTGGCCTTAAAGACCACAGAGACTGAACTTCTCTGCACCTACCGACTCTATTATTTATGGGTCAGTCACAAAAAGACTTAGCTTTGGGTAGGACTTCCCTTAGGTTTGTAGGGCCTAGCATTGCATACTTTATAGGAGCCCTGTTTCTCCCATAGGCCAAGGAGACATGTCCATCTGAAGCCCACATGCCTCTCCCTCTTCTATACCGTGATTTGAGATTGGGACCACAGAATTCCCTGCCCAAGCCGCCTCAAGCTCATCTCAGGGGTCTTAGCAAGCTTCTTCCTTAGGTTCATCAATTCAAAGACAGGAGGCCAACAGGTGGCTGTGTTCTAGGGATTGGACACACGGGCTGGATGTTCAGACATGTTTATATATGAAGCCCCTCAGAAACAGCATGATGCAGAGGGTGGGAACAGGAGGCAGTATGTGGGTTGGGAGCTTGCATTTGTATTCTTGCTTCAAGACCTGTAAATGTCAGAATGAACCTGTCTTTGACAGAGGCAGAGGTTGGCTGGTTCATTTCAATTCAAATCAATTTAAGAGACATTTATTGGACACCTGTTATGTGCTGGGTCCTGACTGTGTTTTTCTTTCTCTCAGTGTTTTTGTTTCATTTCAGAAAAATGAAAGGCTGATGATCCTTAAGGTCCCCTTCTGCTAGGTCTGGTATTTTGGAATTAAGATCTGAGATCTGGCTTGAGGGAGAGGAAACAACTCTGGATTGACTTGATTTAAGAAAGTGTGGAAGGAGGAGGCTGAGAACATGAAGCCTCTGAGCTGGCTGGTGGAAGGGGTGCAAAGGACGGGAAACTTGGACACAATGACCCAGGAGTTTAAGGGCTGAGCTCCTTGCCTCAGGGATCAGCTGGTCCTATTCCAAGCTAGTGGCCTGTGTCTCCCAGCTGGCCTCAGGCAGGGCTGGAGAACTGCTGCTCTGTCCTATTCTGTGCATGGGCTCACTCTACCTCTAAGCCTTGGGACACATGAGTCCTGATGTCCCATAGCTCTGGCCAGCATGGAGGTAAGGGCCCTTTGGCTCAGGACCACTTGGGCTGCTCTCCCTGCTAATCCTGCTTGGGTGGTGATAGGAATTGATCTGTGCTTTGTGGTCCATGGGCTGAAGGGGTCAGGGGCAGGCTTGGCATCACCTCTACTCCACAGCCTGGGCTATGTGGTGCTTGGTGGTATCTGTTGGATTGAATTGAGTCCCTCATCAGCTGTCCTTCAGGGCCAACATACAGGGGGCCCAGAGAGGGCCAATAATGAGGGAAGATTCAGCCCAATAGACCCTTTCCTGCCTGTAAAGCCTTTGGAACAGGGGCCTGGTAGAGATTCATCCCAGGGGTAGAAGGAACTTTCCTGGAAGTGATGAGAGCATTGGGCGGGGGTTGATGGAGTTGGGCTCAGCTAGATGAGGCCCAGGCCACTTCTCTCCATGTTTCCTGAGGCTGGGACTCCAGGGAGCCCAGGGTAGACAACATGGTGAGTGTTCATGTATGCATGTATGTGGGGAGGAGACAGAGCAGGATCCACTTTCCCACTCTCTACTGCAGGGCGGAGTGGGACCTAGGGGTGATTTGTCAAGAGACAGAGAGTGTTCTTTGTGAAGGAGCAGGGACCAAACTCTGCAGTGCTCTTCCTGCTGGCCTATCACCCCTCCACCCAGCCATCCGGTGGATTCTTGGTGGTCTGTGCTTGACAAGGTTAGAGGAGTCTCCTCTTCTCCCTGGAGCAGGCACGCTGCGTGAGTGAGACGTGCTGGTCATCTCCCTATCAGAGTCACGGGAGGTCTGACCCTCCTTATTGGACACCGTCACCCTGAATTTCACAAATGAGAAATAAGGCCCAGATTAGGGGAGTATAACCACTGTGCAGTATCCAGGTGCATGTCCTGAGTGCATCAAGCTTGGGGGAAGCTGGGTCCACCAGAGGGCGCGCAGGAGGCAGGCTGGAGAGCACAGCTGGAAGCCAGACTCCTGAGGAGCTGTTCTGCTCCAGTCTCCCGGGGAGCCTACCTGGAGCGCTGAGGAACCCAGGGGGCTGTAAACACTCTGCTTCTACCTACAGGCCCAGGCACACAGGGCCCTTCCTTTGCGGACTTGTCCAGGTCAAGCTGCCGCCAGGAGAGAGACCCATCTTCATCCCTCTCTCCCACCCGCGCAGGTTCCACTGCTCCTGGTGCTGGCACACCTGGCAGTCGCCCCACGTGGTCATCCTCTTCCACATGCACCTGGACCGCGCCCAGCGAATGGGCTCAGTGCGCATGCGCGTCTTCAAGCAGCTCTGCTATGAGTGCGGCATGGCGCGGCAGGAGGAGTCCAGCATGCTGGAGGAGAACATCGAGAGCCTGGTGGACAACCTCATCTCCAGCCTGCGCGAGCAGTGCTACGACGAGGACGGTGGCCAGTACCGCATCCACGTGGCCAGCCGCCCGGACAGCGGGCCGCACCGCAGTGAGTTCTGCGAGGCCTGCCAGGAGGGCATCGTGCACTGGAAGCCCAGCCAGAAGCTGCTGGAGGAGGAGGCGACCTACACCTCTGGTGCCTCTAAGCCCATGCTCCAGGAGGGCTCAGGCTACAGCTTCTTCTCTCTCCGCTGGTGCCTCTTCTGGGCCTCTCTCTGCCTGCTCATTGTCTACCTGCAGGTCTCCTTGCACGGCTCTGTCTTCCTTTAGTGCAGCTGGCTGGGGCGTGAGGATGGGGCTTGCAGCGCGGAGGGGGGGGGGGGCGGGAGGGGGTAGTGGGGGAGACACGGTCCTGGTCCTGATTCTGCTACAGATTCAATATATGACGCCGGACATCTCAGTTACTTTTCTGGGCCTCCGTTTATTAGGGCAAGCTGCCGCTAGGAGGTTTGCAGAATGAGAGGTTTGCTCTAGTCTAGGAGATACTTAATGGTCCTTTTATTAAAATGTACAGTGATGGGGAAAGGGGAGAAGAGTACTAAACCTACAGGGAGGGATCGTCTCTCTCCAGCCCCATCTTCTATCCTGCCTTCTAATTTATGTCCATATTCCACACCCCATGAGGACCCCTTTATGTCCTGTCTTGTCCCTACCTCACTCTCAAGCTTGTCTTCAGCTGTTTCGGACCATCTTGCCATGGTTCCCCTTGGAGAAGTCAGTGGCCCCACCCAATGCATCTTCAATCAATAGTCAGTGTGTCTTTGCCCAGCCTAGGGATCTTCAGGTGACAGTGTGGCTGAGTGTCTTCATTCAGGGGAGGCCATGGTTACAGGGAAGCAATAAAGACAGTGCCTCTCTCCCAGCACCCTCCCCGGAGAGCCTGCAAAGGCTTAATTTTTTACTCTGGTACTAACATTTGCTTAGTTGGAATTATTTAGAGCTGCACTGTGCAGTGTGTTAGTCACTAGCCATATGTGACTGTTTAAATTAATTAAAATAAAATAAAATGTAAAATTTAGTTCCTCAGTTGCAGCAGCCACATACCAAGTGCTTAGTAGCCATATGTGGCCAGTGGTTACCATATTGTACTGTGCAGGTATAGAACATATTCACATAGATTTCTATTGGGCAGCACTGGTTTAGAACTTGAAATTCCCACTTAAATGTAGGTGGATTCCTAAAATGAGAGGTAGATACAGGTTTAAAAGTGCATATGAAGCCTTCTGGGTGCAGGGACAGCCATGGTGGGGTCCAGTGGAGATACACAAATAAATACTAGTATGTAATGTCTGTGCTTCTGGCTGATAATTGATTGGAATCTGTGGGTCTCAACATTTCTTGAACTTATTTCCTGGGGAGAAATTGAAATTCACTGCAAGATGATGAATGTGTGTGTGTGTGTGTGTGTGTGTGTGTGTGTGTGTGCGTGCTCTTGGTTTGGGACTTGGAGAATATATTCCTGTGTTCTACAGAAATGTGTGAGCTGTGGGCACCACTGCTTAAACAGGATATAGTGTGTGACTCTGCCGTCCTGTGTGAAAATACCTTGTAGCAGATTCTACAGCTGTTCTAGATCCTGGGGACAGTGAGGGAAGGGGCAGATCTGTGAATGAGGAACTTCCAGGTGACAGTGTCTCCATTCAGGGGAGGTGATGACTAAGGGGAAGCATGAGCAGTAAAGACAGCACTTGTCCCCAACCCCTTTTCCTTTGCCCAGTTCATGAGACCACCCCATTAGGGGAAATGCATTTGCTGTGCCCATTCCCTCAGGCACGGCTGTGACTTGGGCAGTTTGACTCATGGTCTGGTGTCATAGGACCTGGTATTTATTATTGTCTGGAAGAGGAAAAAGAAAACTCTCTTATTTGCACCCCACATTGTTGCCTGATAGTCACATCTTTCTGTAGCCCACTGTTAGAGCCTCAGCCCCAAATGGGGTCTGAGAACTGGAGATGAGCATCAAGGCTGTTGTGTCTGGCTAGATGTGTTCCCAGAGATAAAATGCTTTGGGCACTGTGTCACACTTGCCCAGCAGGTGTGCAGCCTAGCTTTACTCTTCCCCAGTTGTGGCAGAGGGTTTCTGGTGGCTTATCCAGTTTCCTCTGTGGACCTACAAGGAGGTGGGCAATCTGGAAGAATCTACCTTTGTCTGGGTGGCCAGAAGAGCATCAGGCTGGAGCATTTGTGAATGAGCAGGCATGTGAGGTGTGTTCCCCTCTGTCAGCCACAGAAAATGTTCAGGTAGGCCTGTACAGAGTATGTGCCTGAGGGGCGTTGCTCAACTTCAGACACCTGGTGGCTTCTGAGAAGATAAATATCAGGAGCTCAGGGATCAAGTGGTCTCCAGAGGACTGTCTTCGCCCTGCTCTGGTCCACCCTGGGAGTCTGAAAGGGACATGAAGGGACAGGAATGGGATGTAGTGAAAACATCTGGTACTGACATTGTTTGTGGGACTAGGGACAGGGGCAGGCATCAAATGGGTCAGAAAAGCTGAGGCTTCTGAGGTAAGACCTAGGAGTTGACGGATGATGAGCCACTGAAAACGAAGTGACAATAAGTAGGTGAAATGAGATGAGGCCCAAGAAAAAATCCAGAATATAAACATATTCTCCTTTTTCATCAGCTCATTTTTCTCATACCTCTACCTACTGAACTAAAATGACCCTCCCCTGACTGCACATCCTCTCTAACTATTGCCATGTAATGTTTTATTCCTTCAAAGCCAACTTTCTCAAAAGAAGATTACATTTCTCTCTACCTCTTATTTTTTCCTTAATTCATGGAAATCTCACTTCCCGGTCCCTGAAACTCACCCCTACCTCATTGCCCAACCGCCGGCCACTTTTCTGTCTGTATCTCACTTGGTTTTGCTGCTGCATTTTGCATCATCTCCTTGAAAATGCCATGACAGCACTTGCTCCTGGCTCTCCCACTTCTGTTTTTTCTCCACTGTGATAATCTTTCGCTCACCATCCCTTATACACTGGTGTTTCCCGGGAGTCTCTTACTCTGCTGGTTTTCCCTCAGTAACATATACCCATTCATGGCTTACGTTTTCACTGCATATGAATTCTGGGTTGTTATAGTTCCTCTAAGCATGTCTGATGAGCTTTAGGCCCCCAGACCAATTGACCTCCCCCTGGGAGCACCCTCAGCATGACCAGAGCTGATCTCATTATTTTTCCATCCAAACTTGCTCCTCCTACTTCTCAGAAATCTGGGAGTTGTTTTCTGACCTTCTCTCCCAACCTGTACCACCATGATGAATCAGTTGCCCTGTCCTCTTGATTGTTCTTCCCAAGGACCTCTAGGATTGGTTTCCTTTCTTTCCTTCCTGTTTACTGCTGCCCAAATGCATCACTGGTGTGCCTTGCCTCTGTAGCTTTCTTAATGGTTATCATTCCTGTAGGTTCCTCCCTTATAGCCCACCTTCCACTATCCTGGGGTGGTTTTCTAATAATCAGATATGAACAGCCCACTCCCCTCCTAAACTCTTCCAGAGCTTTTTCCTGCTAATGGTAACACCTAGTCTCATTAGCCAGGCACATCTCATTTCCTAGAAATGATAATATAGAAGATTTATTGAGAAGGTGCTCAATAAACATTTGCTATTAAAATAATTTACTGTGTGTGAAGTGCTGTGCTAAGAGCTTTTTGTGCATTGTCTCAATTAGTTCTGAAAACCACCCTTTGAGGCAGGTACTATTATATTATCTCCATTTTATGGCTGAGACTTACAGAGGTTTAGAAACTGGTGCATGATGACCCAGTTATTATGGCACAGTGCTGAGGCTGGAATTCAGGGTCTCTCTGATTCCAGAACTTAAGTTTTCAATCACTATGTGATCCTGCGACTTGGGCTAAGCCCGTGCTCATCTAACCCTGATGCCAACTCTCCTGGAACAACATATCCCATCCGGCTTTCAACTGTTTTATCTTCAGTGTCAGTTGGAGCACTCGTCGCATGTGAAGCCTCTTTCACAGCCCCAGGCAGCATTAGAATAGCACCACCTTGAGGCTACCTCTGCTATTGCCCTTATCATATTGTATTGTCACGCTTGTGTGCATGTGTCTGTCTACCACTGTCGGTTATTTTTCATCGTCTGTCCCCAGAAGGGTTGGCTGACTAAATTCTTGTCTTGTATGCCATATTCTCTACCACACCTGCCCCCCAGCAAGAATCATCCTGTGTATATTTCATGTACTGTGGTATCCCCAAGCTGGAAGTGAAGAAAATACTGACTTTGTGCCAGCTATGATGTATAACTTCCCTTTAATAATAACCTATGAAACAGGCACTCTTATTATCCAGACTTACTGAGGGGAAACTGGGGTTTAGTGAGGTGTCCAGTTTTGTAATGTTTGTGAGCTGGTTAGTTTTAATCTGGTATGGGAGTCCAGCCTGCCAAGAAATGAAGAATTAAATAACCCTGTTTGGGAAAAACAAACAAACAAAACCTCACAGACTCAAACAACAGCATAGTGGTTACCAGAGAGGGAGGGGCAGCAGTTGAATTTGGTGAAGGGGGTCAAATATATAGTGATGAAAGGACACTTGACTTTGGGTGGTGAGCAGGCAATGCAATATACAGATGATGTGTTACAGACTCGTACACTTGAAACCTATATAATCTTATTAACCAATGTTGCCCCAGTAAATTTGAGAAAATAAAATAAAATAAATAAGCCTGTTTGGGCTCAACACATTATATATATTGAGACTCAGGTCAGATCCTGGACAAGGACACAGTACTTTGCCCAGAGGGCAGAGCCACCCACTAATATCTAGGTGACAGGTGGACTCCAGGCCAGTACCTGGAGACAGAGAGGGAAGTTGGGCTTCTAGAAACCTGAAAACAGATGTCTGAAAAATGTGCAAAAATTGTCTGCTAGCATGTGGACAGAGGTTCAGGAGAGAGCTCTTGTAGGTATTTGGGTAGAAATGAACCATGTGCTCACGAAGTTTGTTGTTGTCACGTGGAATGAGTGTTTGTTCCCCACCCCTCATGAGGCTTGCCTGACTTGTCACGAGAGGTCCCTTACTATTAAGTCTTTCGTTTCTGTATCTGTCCTGTAACCACATCTCTGTTGTGGGTATTAGAAGAAGGCAGTGCGCTCTAACCCTGTGTGTATCTTTGTGCTGATTTTACCCTGTTGAGAAAGCAAATGTGGCTTGCAGGGATTGCTGGTGGGAGTTGTTTGCAGAGTACCAGATGAAGGGGACAGTAAGGCATGCAAAGGAATGCTGAACTGAGACTCCTGAGATCTG